ACCCACTCCCTGAGAACAAAACGACCCAGCTAACTACCCTTTGTAATTACAACTGTTTTAACAGTTTCCAGTAGGCAAGGCTATCATTTAAGCAATGCACTATAATTTAGGATGAAACCCCAGGAAATTATGCCAACTTTAGAACAGAAGTGGCATTTCAGAGTTTACTCAGCATAATGAACCTACTGAAATGCTGAGTATCCCTTCTTAGGCATAAATTTACATCAGGGGAAAAAATGAGCACTGAAAGGAACTTAGCTAGAGAGGGAGGGAAAAAATCATGACCTTCATTCCCAGGAGCTGGCCATAGTTTATTTTCCTTTTTTGCATCCTTTTTATCCTGGAAAATTTCAATCATGTAGAAAAATATGCAGAATGAATCCCCACAAACCCATCATTCGGTTTCCATAACCATCGACACAGTCAATCTGATTTTACTGTACCTACCCTCTCCCTTCTTTGAACTTTTTAAAAAGCAAATGCCAGACAGCTGAGCGTTTACATACGCTCTCCTTTACAATATAGACATTTTCCTAAAGATCACTCCAGGCATCTCATTGAGCGTGAGATGTCTCAACATCTTGTAAGACATTTTACACCAAAACCTATGTGCCCAGAAAATTAATTCGCTTGAATATACTTATTGGGTAATTAAGATGGCAAAGCAACTTGAAGTACAACTCCATTATTTTATTTATGGGAAAAACAGAAACATTCTAAGACTGACAACACAGAACAAAGGGCATGTGCTGGGGACCAGCAGGTGGTGTGGTGGTTAAGATGCTGGACACTCCCACATGGCTGACCACAGTTCAAGTCCCGAACCTGGTGGCTTGCTCTCTCACTTTGTCTCTCTCACTTGTTCTTTCACTGTCTTTCTCTGGTCAAATTAAAATGAATGAATGAATAAATAAAGTTAGATAATTCTTTTTTTTTTTTTAAGTGCATGTGCTTTATCGCTAGGGTTCAGGTCTTTTTTTAATTTTCCTTTTAAATTTTGCTATAGGGTGTGCATGCTCACTAGAAAGAGAGAGACAAAGGGAGAAATCACTCCCTGGGGGGGATGGCCATGCCAATCCCTCTCCTCTGTTCTCCTGAGATTTTGGGCATGCACGCACATGCGCCCATGTGATTTTTAAGCCTTCCCGTCCAGGACTTGCACTGTGCAGTCGGCCATGTGGGATCCAGCCACCTTAACCTGCACACCATCTTCTGGCCCGCCTGTGCAACTGGGCTGTGTGAACATTCTACTCGTAAGTGACAAGGTTAAAAGGGACAATCTTAGATCTACACAGATGGAATCTGGAAAAATGGGAGGAGGTTACTAAGGGGGCCAGGAGCTGTCCAGATCACAGCTTTACCCTCCTCCTTCCACACACACATATACCTCGACGCCACCAGGCCAAACCCCAGGAGTGTCAGAAATCACTCATCATGCGGTCTAGTGGCTAACAATCATTTATTACTGATCTTTTTGTAAAAAAGCAGATCAAAAGGATCTCCATCCAGCATTTATATTTAATTCCTCATTGCTTGATGACTAATCTGTAGAGGAATGAAGCCTTCACAAGAGAAGCCAAAACAATCGGAGGTGAGGGACACAGTGCGACAGAGTACCTGAAGAGGAAGGTGGAGAAGCTGGGGATGGCTAGGCTTCACGAGGGTTCGAATAAAGGAACCACGTAATTTCCCTTCACCGTGAATCATGACACGTTAGAAGTGGGCGGAATTTAGACAAGGAAAGCAAAACCTTTGATTCACCCCAGCCCTTTTTCCTCCTGGCAAGTGTTAACTCCGGCCACTGTTGCACTTCCGTTAATGAAGTGGCGTTGCCTTAAAAACTGCAATATTTCCATCCGAAATCTGGCCAGACTGCCCTCGAGCTGCGGTTCCCCTCGCCGGCAGGCAGCTCTGTCTGCGTCGTCGGATGCTCCTGGCTGCCTCAACACCTTTCAAACACACGCCATGTTCCCTGAAGTGCCTGATCTAGTACGAAACTTGTGACTAGAAAAATAGGCGTCTCGGTATCGTATACCACCAGGGTCACACAGAGCAAAACACCTGAGCTGCAAAGCTTGGTCACTGTGGGAGCCCTCGAAGCTCTTCAAATTCTGCCTACTCTATGGACAGCTGGCACCGTCCCCCTCCCCAAACCCACACAGCTCTGTACCCTCAACGGAGTTAAGTAGTTTTCACGCCACTTAGTCCGGCTACTTACAAAATCCTACCACGTCTCCTGTAAATTCATAGATGAAGACTGAAATTTATGTCTGCATTTCAACCGTGTACATTTTTGGTTTGTTTCTGAAACCACCTCGGAGTGACGGATTTACCAGAACCTCATGTGGCATGAAAGTTCTGCGTGAGTCTCAGGGACCTGGTCAGGTATTTCCCCACAAAGACGCACCATTAGGGATTTTTGTGAAAATGGTTATAAGTGCGTGTGTGTGTGTGTGTTTAAGAGTCTTTATACTTTCCACATATACGGTGAAATGTCTATAAGCCTTCAAGTACGGGGTGGAGACACGTGGTACGAGTGGGGGGAGACCTGCTGGGAACACACACAGCTGTGGGATGGGACACGGGGCTGCAAGGCCGAGTCGTCGTCTGTGTAGCAAAGCTGCTGGCAGTGGCTACTTCAGAAACAATGCTAGGCTTTTTGGGGAGATTTTTTTCCCCTTCTCTTTAATTGCCACAGGGTGCATGCTCTCTTGGGAGGGAGAAAGAAAAGCACTCCCTGGAGGGGTGAGAGAGCAGGGGCGATCACACTGCAATCTCTTTCCTCCATTTCTCCTGCCTAGGGGATTTGGGGGCATGTGCGCATGCATCTGGCATGGTTTTCAAGCCACCAAGGCTAGGGTTCAAAATGTGCTCAGCCATGTGGGATCAGGCTCCTACACACCGGGCTTAACCACTGTGCCACAGGGCCAGCCCAGTTTGGGTTTTCCGTTAGAAAAACACCTTTCTATCAGAAGCAATAGGGAACCTCGATCTGGCGGTGGATATTCCAACTCTCTTTACCAACCCAAAAGCCAAGTCCCCCACTACAGTGTTTGGAAAGAGAAAACAAAACCAACCAGAAAAAAAACCCAAATCCGTCTCTCTACAGTCTTTGAGATCTCAGTACCTATGTAGCGAGATGTTTAATGTGAATGAAATTGATTCATTTAGTTAAAAAAAATAAAAATTTGCTTTCCTTTTCTTAAATTTGCTAGTGGACACATACACTTGCCAGAGAGGGAAGAAGGTGCACCCCGAAGGGCACAGGCACGCCATAATCCCTTCTCTGTTTCTCTACCCTGATGGGATTTGGGGCACACACCCACACATGCCTGGCAAGTTCATCAAGCTGCTAGGTCCAGGATTCGAACCGTGTGGTCAGCTGTGTGGGTCCTGATCTCACCGTGTACATTTTTGGTTTGTTTCTGAAACCACCTCGGAGTGACGGATTTACCAGAACCTCATGTGGCATGAAAGTTCTGCGTGAGTCTCAGGGACCTGGTCAGGTATTTCCCCACAAAGACGCACCATTAGGGATTTTTGTGAAAATGGTTATAAGTGCGTGTGTGTGTGTGTGTTTAAGAGTCTTTATACTTTCCACATATACGGTGAAATGTCTATAAGCCTTCAAGTACGGGGTGGAGACACGTGGTACGAGTGGGGGGAGACCTGCTGGGAACACACACAGCTGTGGGATGGGACACGGGGCTGCAAGGCCGAGTCGTCGTCTGTGTAGCAAAGCTGCTGGCAGTGGCTACTTCAGAAACAATGCTAGGCTTTTTGGGGAGATTTTTTTCCCCTTCTCTTTAATTGCCACAGGGTGCATGCTCTCTTGGGAGGGAGAAAGAAAAGCACTCCCTGGAGGGGTGAGAGAGCAGGGGCGATCACACTGCAATCTCTTTCCTCCATTTCTCCTGCCTAGGGGATTTGGGGGCATGTGCGCATGCATCTGGCATGGTTTTCAAGCCACCAAGGCTAGGGTTCAAAATGTGCTCAGCCATGTGGGATCAGGCTCCTACACACCGGGCTTAACCACTGTGCCACAGGGCCAGCCCAGTTTGGGTTTTCCGTTAGAAAAACACCTTTCTATCAGAAGCAATAGGGAACCTCGATCTGGCGGTGGATATTCCAACTCTCTTTACCAACCCAAAAGCCAAGTCCCCCACTACAGTGTTTGGAAAGAGAAAACAAAACCAACCAGAAAAAAAACCCAAATCCGTCTCTCTACAGTCTTTGAGATCTCAGTACCTATGTAGCGAGATGTTTAATGTGAATGAAATTGATTCATTTAGTTAAAAAAAATAAAAATTTGCTTTCCTTTTCTTAAATTTGCTAGTGGACACATACACTTGCCAGAGAGGGAAGAAGGTGCACCCCGAAGGGCACAGGCACGCCATAATCCCTTCTCTGTTTCTCTACCCTGATGGGATTTGGGGCACACACCCACACATGCCTGGCAAGTTCATCAAGCTGCTAGGTCCAGGATTCGAACCGTGTGGTCAGCTGTGTGGGTCCTGATCTCCTTAACCACCAGGCCATGGAGCTGGCCCTTCTGTTTTAAAATGGACAAAGAATTTAAAAATTAAACTAGAAATACAAATATGATTAGTAAAGGTATTTCAAAATCACCATATATTGGTGAAAGATAGCTCTTAGAATGGCTTGGGAAAAGAGGAAGAGTCGGTCCATACTGAAATCATGGATGTTGAAGGCCCTTACGTAAAAGATGCCCTGTTTGCGTTCAACCTACCCACATCCTCCTGTACACTCCAAATCATCTCTGTAAGATTTAAGAGCAACACCAGCATTGGACGTAAGTGGAGAGAGAGACGTATGCATTCTTCAGTGTCTCTCCTTCATGGAGACCCCCCTTTCTCCACTGTCAAACAACGGGTGTGGCCCGGCTGCAGCTGTGCTTGGGCGACTCTGTGAATGCGGACTCGGCGGACACTTTCAGAAAGATCTGTAACACTTACACACCGATAACACGCTTCTCTTACCTTGTGATCGTACGGGTTATACGAGTGAAATACTCGAGACAGGTCTTTTGTCCTTTGCTTTTTCTGCGGAAGAAAACAAACATCTGAGTTGACCGCTGGAAAAAGCGATATGCGTGTGTATACGTATCCCTTTTTCTATATAAAGATATCGCGTTCACAGGTTTCCCCTTTGTGTGGGCTGAGGGTATGTATGACGTCACTTGACAGGTCCAGGAGTCATTGTCACGGGGCAGCCAGGCAATCTCTTCCTCAAAGTTTCATAAAGAAAACATCAATCCTCTGCAAAAACTGACATGCCTGGGGCCGGCAGGTGGTGTGGTGTTTAAGGGCGCTGGACTCCCACATGGCTGGCTGTGGTTCTAGTCTTGGACCTGGCAGCTTGCTTTCTCACTTTCTCTCTCTTTCTCTCTCTCATTCACTCTGTCCCCCTCTGGTCAAATTAAAGAAAAAGGAAGGAAGGAGAGAAGGGAGGAAGGGAAGAAGGGAGGGAGGGAGGGAGGAAGGAAGGAAGGAAGGAAGGAAGGAAGGAAGGAAGGAAGGAAGGAAGGAAAAAGTATGGTTAAATAAAATAATTCTTAAAAAACAAAAAAGAAAAAGAAAAAAGAAAATGACCTGCCCACCAGACCTCCCTGACGCCAGCTTCCTTTGCAGCAGTATGGCCGACATGCCCCAAACCGGGAGAGTCACCTCAGGTCACTTCTGTCACCAAGGCAACGAGCATGGGCTAGCGAGATGGGAAGGTGTCTAAGGTGACCACGTGCTGAAGCCTGCAGTCTAGGAGGGCTGCTGCTGGGTTTAAAGGTGAGGCAGCGGGGCCAGCAGGTGGCACGGTGGTTGGGTGCTGGACGCCCACATGGCCGACCGTGGTTCAAGTCCTGGCTTACTTTCTCACTTTTCCCCCTCCCTCTAGTGAATGTGTGTGCCCTATAACAAATTAATAATACTAAATAAAAAAAAATTTTGAGAGGTTTTTGCTATAGGGTGCATGTGCTCGCCAGAAAGAGAGAGAGAGACAGAGAGACAGTGAGAAATCACTCCCCGGGGGGATGGCCACGCCACAATCCCTTCTCCTCCATTCTCCTCTTGGGATCTCGGGCACGCACGCACACATGCCCGGCATGAGTTTAAGCCACCGGGTTCGAGACTCGAACCACAGTCGACTACATGGGAGTCCAGCGACATAGCCATTACGCTAACTGCTGGTCCCAATACTAAATAGAATTTAAAAGGAGGCATGTGAGTTGGGTGAAACTTCTTGATTCCCAAGAGGCTGAACGTCTGCAGGGCCCAGCCTGCAGGCCCTCCGTGCACTGGTGTGCACTGCACTCTCCAACCACAGGGTGCAGAGGACCCCTTTCCCTCATGCCCATGTTTAAATTCCCTTTCAGGCAAAACCCAAGCCAGCCAGGGTGCGCTCTGAACAGCTTGGGCTGGCAGACAAAGTAATCATCTCCAGTTGTATCAAAGGCATGCAACAGAGCCCAGCCTCCGTGTGAGGAGAGCCTGTCTTTTCAGTGTGAGGTTGTTCGGTCAACTGGATGCTAGCACTCTCCACCAACCGACCTTCTCTGGTTCCCTGAGCTAACCCAGGGCTTTCTGTGCTGTTTGCCAATTGCAGCCGGAAGAGTTTCCAAATAAAACAGTGTTATTATAAGGAAAGATATGGACTTTAATTCTGCTTATGGAGTCTCGAAAATAAAAAAGCCTACAAGCTTTCAGAGAGTTTGATACGTGGAAGATTTACTGTTGATGTAGCAAAACCAAAAGGTTCAGCAAGCCCTTACCATCCTGCCCGCCAAGCAGCAACATGAACACATGTGAGTTTCGACACATCCTTTTTCCTGCTCCCATTCCAGAGGGAGACCGTGAAGTGGTTGCGTGGCCACCTGGCAGCTAGCAGCTGAGAGGTAAGAGGAAGAGCCAAGACACCTGCAAACTGGACAGTCGGGTTCTGAACAGCCACACTGGGCGTCCTGCAGGGACACCTGAGGTGACAGGGCAGGGACGGTCTGCTGGGGAGCAGGGACGCTGTGCTCTAAGAACTCCCAGAGACTGGCACTGAGAGTCAGAGGGTCCTGGTGAGGGATGGGGCAGGAGCTGGGAGGTCAGAGCGAGGCCGAGGGCTTAGTAAGCCGTAGAGACCCTGAAGTCGGGGCGGAGTAGGCAGGGAAGCTCAGGAGGGAGCGAAGGTGTTAGTCCCGAGGACGTGGCCTGACAGGAAGGGAGGCCCCAGGTGTACCTTGGGCTCTTCCATCACACTTCCTGCAAGGCAGGGCAGGGGCCTGGGCAGGGGCCTGGGCAGGGTGCAGGGCTCAGGGCCTGCTGACTCAGTGTGCAGGTGACAGCGAGGCGGAGAAGGAAAAGTTACTGCTTACTTAAGAGTTCAGTTTCTTTTTTTCCTTTTCTTTTTAGATTTGCCAAAGGGAGCATGTGCTTACGAGAGAAAGGAGACAGAGGGGGAGGGAACCTCTGCAGAGGGTGGTCACCCCGCAATCCTGTCTCCCCCGTTTCTCCAACCTGTAGGCCCGGGATGCGAACCATGTGGTCAGGCATGTGGGACCTGGCTCCTTTAACCATCAGCCGTGGAGCTGGCCCGAGAGTTCAATATTTGCTGAAAGCAGGAACGCCGTAGCCGAGTGTACAGAATGTGCCATTTCCAGACTGCCAGGAAGCAGGCTGAGCACAGGCACCCGGGGACGGCAAGAGGCAGCGGTGGAGCGGAAGAGGCGGCTACGCGACAGGAACGGAGGGTGTGAGTCCCGTGGCAGCGAGTCCAGGACCAGACGTGTGCTGGCCAAGACGGAGCCACGTCCATGTGGAAGACGGCAGGAGGGGCTGGTGGCGCCATTCGGGGAAGGCAACGCAACCGCCCGGTCCGTGGGGAATCCGGCAGGGGGGGCGCCTGCCGCCATTCGGGAAAGGCAAGGACATTCCAGGGCAGCTTGGGGCACGGTGGGGACGGGATGGGTCTGGGAAACAGCTGACACAGGAAGGACAGCGCTGGTGATCAGGTGGGGTTGGGGGACAGAGGGCACGCCAGGGGTCCTGGCTCAGACCTCTTAGAGAAGACTGAGTGGCAGGCATGGGGCGGAGGGACGGGGCATTCAGGGCCGACCCCGTGGAAGGGTGGGTCGGTGCCCAGCACACAGATGCGGCCACAGATCTGGGAGTCCTGGCACGGTGGCTGGGAAGGACACCCTGCAGGGCGAACACAGAGTGACTGAGGCAGGAAGACGAGAGCACGAGACTGAGACCAAACCCTATCTATCGGACGAAAGTCCCCAACCGGGGGATGTGTGTCTGCCCCCGGCTTCCTCCCTCTGTAAAATGGAGCTGGCTGGCCCGGGGTTCCCCACCCTGCTGCAGGTTGGAACTATTGGGTACCTTTATAGCATCCCATTCTCCGGCCCTCGTCCCCAGTGACTGCGACATCCCGGCTCTTGTGGAACCAGGGCAGACGCAGTATTTGGAGCAGCAGGGGTGTGCTCGTGTGCGGCTGAGGTCAGACCCCAGCCACCATGGTCCTACGGTCTCTTCCAGCCGCTAAACTTGAACCTTCGCGATTGGACCCCACCATCTTTGTGCATCTGCCCTTCTGGGTTCGGAAGTGTGTCGGAGTTTCGTTCGCAACCTCCGGGTGACGCCTGCACTGTCTCATTCCCTGACTTCTTCCTTCACTTAGGAACGAACTCCGAGGCAGGAACTCTCTGAGGCACACGGAGGCGTTGGCTGCAGAAGGCCACTGTGATGTAAGTAGGTCCCCACTTGGTGAGCACTTCTGAGAGGCAGGTGGGGAGCTAACCTAAGAAACCCGAACGCCACGTCACGATCAATGGGTAAAACATCACAAGCTTAATTAAAAGCACTTGGCAACATCGGCGTCCAATCACAGTCTTGCTTCGTATCGTGCGCATTTTGACGCTGTCCCTAAGATGATGACACTCT